AAATGACAGATTGTTTTGTCAGGGTCTGGAAATAATTTGTGTATCTAAGTACCTATTCTCAGATTTAAGACCCGATCTTGTGAAATGTGCAGTGTGAAAACCAAAGAAATGAGACATTTTTGTTTTTTTGTGATGAGAGCTGAAGTTACCTCCTCCTCTGGAGTTCTGCTGAGTGCAAGATATTAATTGCTTACGCTTTTTTCAGAAATCAGCAATTTAGTTTGTTTTTATTTGGTTCAGAACTATTGTTGGAAGGATTAATTGTTGCTGTGTTGATATTGTCACTGTTTATGTGATTCCTTAAAAAGGAAATTCTCGTAATATCGACCATACTCATCTGGAGTATTGTGTCCAATTCTGGGCTCCCCAGTTCAAGAAAGACAGGGAACTTTTGGAGAGAGTCCAACAGAGGGCTACAAATATGATTAAGGGACTGGAACATCTCTCGTATGAGGGAAGGCTGAGAGACCTGGGGCTGTTTAGTCTGGAGAAGAGAAGGCTGAGAGGGGGCCTTATCAATATCTATAAATACCTGAAGGGTGGCTGTTGGGAGGATGGAGCCAGTCTCTTTTCAGTGGTGCCCAGTGACAGGATGAGGGGCAATGGGCACAAACTGCAGCAGAGGAAGTTCCACCTCAACATGAGGAAAAACCTCTTTACTGTGAGGGTGACGGAGCACTGGCACAGGCTCCCCAGAGAGGTTGTGGAGTCTCCTTCTCTGGAGACCTTCAAAACCCGACTGGATGCGTTCCTGTGCAGCCTGCCCTGGGTGATCCTGCCTTGGTAGCGGGGTTGGACCAGATGATCTTCAGAGGTCCTTTCCAACCCCTGCCATTCTGTGATAATTTTAATCTCTGGATTTTTCTTTACTCCTCCCATGTGGGGAGAGTGTAATTAACTGAAGCAGCTGCCTTAGCTTAACCCTTCTCTTCCCTCCTTGCCTTGATATGAGAATCCCTTTCTAAAATTTTTTATGAGCACTTGTAAAAAAAAAAATTTGAGTAGCTAATAAATGTTTTAGGAATGAGTGATATTTAGAATTTTTTTGCTTTTTGAGATAAATGCAACTTCAGCTTGTGCACAAAACCTAGCTAAAGGAGAATATAGCTTTGGAAAACTTATTAAAAACAATTGCCTATCTAACTAGAAGAAAATGTAGAAATGGCTTTTTTATATGTCAGAAATTTCAACGGCAGATACTGTAACTTCACTAAGAGCCCTGAGATTCTTGTCCATGAGCAATGAAAACCGTCTTTTTATTTTGAGGTTAACATAGCTACCTGTGTTTGAGCAGCTAAATTTCAGTTGTGCTGAGTGTGATGCTTACCTCTGTAGACCTGTTCATTGGTTCTTTGTACTTCATGGAGTTGAATTGTACAAATCTGCAGAGAGTTACTGGAGAAAGTTTTTGTCCTTTTAGGCTCATGAGTAGATAATTACTGGCAGGTCGTGGAGGACTGCTAGACACTGAGTACAGTAACTTGTGTTGTACTGGACAGTCTTAAGTGAGAACTCCTCTCATAGGCTATCTAAGCTTATTTGAAGCACTACCAAGCCTGTGTGAGGTGGCTTTACCTGAGGAAGGAGAATACAAGGAAGAGCCAAATTGGAGTCTGAACTGACTGGAGAAGGTGTTAACTGACAATTTGTGGGACTAGAGGGTATTAAGCAATTCGGTGTGTGATACTGAGACCAGTTGATGCTACCTAGGTCTGAGGCACTGGCAAAAAAAGTAATTTCCTTGTCACCTGCAGTTGCACATTTCTACCACGTCCTTTACAGGGGCACTTTTGTGGCTACATGCTGAATGACATTAGTTTACTGCTCTGGCTGAGGGGGAAGAAAAGTCTTGGCCTTCCCTTCCTCTACTCCCAAAAATAATTATTTCTCGATCAATTGTGCAAAATGTTCTGATTTTACAGTGTGAGCACAGTGCTACTGTTTAAGTAGATCATGAATGTCACTGTTTCTGTGTTCTTTCTGTTTTTGTAAGAAGTTAATTTAGGTTCAGAAAAAATAATTCAGTGCCTGTGGTATAGTTCACCATGTTGCAGCTGAGAAGTGGTAAATTACTGTGTATGTTCACAAAAAAATTACTTTGACTTTTGAAGAAGTTAGTAACCACCCTCAAGCTGTCTGGCCCAGCTGTCTCCCAGAGGTTCCCTCTTCAAGGCATTTAGAAGAACAGATCTTTCCTGAGCGTACCTTTGCTTCAGTGCAAAATCCAGGCCTTACCTAAAATGATCGAGGGAAGTGACTTTCAGTTAAGATACTATGGGCTAAAAGAAGGGGGCTGCATGCATATTCCCATTTTCTGACACTGTCAAGAGGATGGAGTGGGTAGCTCTGGACAGCATCTGCTCATCCTCCTTCAGCAAGATGGTAGTATTGGTTTATCTGGTTTGTGTGACTTCTCCGTGTGATAGTTGTATACCTGGGGATAAGAATGTGACTAGACAAATTTCAAGTCAAATTTCAAACTTCAAGGAGACAGGTGGATTAATAGGATAATGTCAGCTGTGGCATTTAGTGGGTTGAATACAGAGCAGACTAATAACCAAAAAGTCATTATTTCAAATCACTTACTGTCTCGGGCACTGACTGATAACTGCTATCTATTACTCATTGCTACTAGGTAGAAATAATTTTGTTCAATAGATTGGAGGAGAATTCATATTGGTGTTCATCCTTTCACCTACCAGTTTTCATAACAGGACATTTTTGTAATTTTAATCAGTAGCCTGTTAAATAGTACCTCTATTTGGGCATCTTTCAAGTATTTATTTTGTATTTTTAGTCTAATATATAAATAGATATAGTATCCTCTGTGGGGAAACAGTACTTCAGAGCTGCTAGTCTGGATGAAAAAGGGCAAGGGCCAGTGTGCCTGCTGAGAGCACCTGTGTGGTGAAAAGGTTATTGTCTTACTTGTGCAGTCCTGAGTGATGGATTTGGCATAATTTGTAAAAACAGGCAGTTAACAGATGGAAACCACAGAATAATGTACTTTAGAAATAGAAACCTCTTCAGAATTTACAAAAATATTTAGCAGTTCTATACAGTATGATAATAACCAAAAAAGCTGATTATGTCCAGTAAGGTCAACCAGAAAAGAAAAAAAATCAGTGGTGAAGTGATTTATAAGGTGAATGTGTATACCTGAGTGGCTAGAGTGGCCAGGAAAAGATGGGGTTGTATGCTCTACAGGTTCCCACGGAAAACAAAAATAATGCAAATGGATACAAGGGTACTGTGTAATACTGAAAGTACTGTAGTTGAGGATATGAATTTGCACCAGGGGAGGTTTAGACTAGATATTAGGACAAATTTCTTTACTGAGAGAGTGGTCAAACATTGGAACAGGCTGCCCAGGGAGGTGGTGGAGTCACCATCACTGAAAGTGTTCAAAAAAACATGTGGATGTGGCACTTTGGGACATGGTTTAGGGGGCATGGTGGTGTTGGGTTGATGGTTGGACTTGATGATCTTAAAGGTCTTTTCCAACCTTAATGATTCTGTGATTCTGTAATTTAAATGCTTGTAACTATGGATTTAGCATGTAAGACTTAACTCTTTGTGACTAATCTCCTCAACCGTACCTTCACTATATAGTTTCTTCCACAGAGCTGTACTTATGGTATTGACTCTGTCTCAATTTATAGGCTGTCAAGATTTATCCAAATAAAATAGCTTTTAGGAAAGTAGGTATTTCATTATGTATTATAATATTCTTTGTGTGGCAGGTGCATTAATTAAAGAAAAGCAACAGTACTATTATGTTGAGCCACTGTTGTTCTGAGACAAAGTCATGTAATATAATGGTTTAAAAGTACTTCACTGTAACAGTCATTATCATGATCTTTACTTAATGTCAGGTGGACTTTATGTTATTCTTCCACTGCCTCTTTTTGGACAATTGATTTGGCCCAGTGATAGAGGATATAAACCAGTAAATTTGATGTACACATCTACATGAAAAAAAGAATAATCCAATAATCTAGATATATCAAATGAAAACCTTTTTTTGCTTTTTAAATAATAACATCATATTCAAGTAACTGTACAGAGACCTTATTAATCTAGACAGGTATTTGAAAGATTGATGCTGTTCCAATGTCATTGTGCTTTTTTTATATATATATATATATATATATAAAAATACTGGCCTTTCTTAGCAACATTCAAATTTCTCCTATAATGATTGTTTTAAGAGTGCCATCTAGTGTCTAAAGCTTTTCAATATGAGTTGTAATTTATAAGTTAATGAGCAATTTTATTGAGTGATGGAACAGAAAAAATATTGCATCATTGTTTTATATTAAACTGGTATGGAATACTTTAATAGGAAAAACGTAATTTTCAACCAAGTGTAAGGAAAATGAGAAGACATTAATTTTAGCTGTGTTGCTGTTCTATTTAACTGCTTTAAAGTATTTGTGTGTTTGAGGTGTTCATGTAGTGTTCTTGAAATGAAAGTTTTTTTTCTTCTCATGTGACCTCTTGACCTTCAGTTAGTGTCTTGCCAGGCTCTAGATTAATTTTTAATACAGAAACCAATATGTGTGCATTAGGAAGCTGTCTGTTGTAGATATGTTATATATGGTTAATGTTGTGGGAGATTATTGTGTTTTGTTTTTTTTTTTTTTTAAAGCCTTGCTCTAAAATGTTCATACACTAAAAAATTTAAAAGGAAATATTTTGTTTTGGTGTTGTATGTTTTGTTTAATGTCAGAAATACACTAAAATGTAAAACAGCTTTTACAGAGATCGTTTCCCTATCAAAGATTTGTATGTGAAGAGACAGTGTTTATGTGAAACCATTTTTTTTTCTCTCAAGGAGGACCTGCAGTCCACTTATTCAGGCAGGATGTCGTTAGTAGTGTCTTATGTTAAAATCAGTTTTAGCAGATAGTGGAAGGACCACTGTTTCAAACCCTCTTTTTTTATTCTAAATTCTGTATTCTTTTACGAATGTTGTGTTCTGATTTCTGTTTCAGGAACTTCGGCTCAGGAAGAAGATGAAAGATAGTGCTTCTGAAGAACATTTATATTTGGGTTTTTCTCATCAGTACAGAGATAGTATCTTTCCTCTTCATACATCTATTGCACTGTTTTTGCTATCCTACTGTGACTGCAAATTATTCAAAGTTTTCTTAGTGCCGACTGGTGAAAATGTGGATGATCAGTTTGTGACAAAAAACCTCCTTGGCGATCTTGAGATCCATTTAATCTCCAGGTGTCAGCTTCCAGGGGTTGTGCAGAGCTGCTGTTTACCTGCTGTTGTCGTGAAGGATGGCAAGTTCTGCCGAGCTGGGCTTTCTGTTGTCTTAAGGCATATAATACAGAAAACATATGAGGCAGATCCATCTAAAAAGGATGTTTTGGAACTCCTAGGCTTTAAGAAGACCTGCTTAAAAGCCTGTGCTGAAGTGAGTGCATCTCTTTCTCTTGGATACATTAATAGGGTTTTTTATAACAATTAAATACTCTGAAGTAGACTCTTAATATTGATGTAAACTAAGTTCTTTTAGTAAAAAACTTAATTTGCTTAGAAAATGAAATTTCCTCAATAGAGAAGCATCTGTAAAGATGAAAAATAATTATTTTTAAAGGGACTACTTTTTGTCAGTACAAAAAGAACCTTAAGATTCAAAAAAATGGATCAGATCTTTGTTTCATGTCTAGCCGTATAGTTTCAATGAGTTATACAGTACAGCTCTTCTAACTTGAAGTAAAGTAAGAAATAATTTATTGTTAATTTTGAGCACCGTATACTGTTAGCTGCCATCACTGCTGGCTTATGTTTAGCTTATGCTCACCAGGGTGATCAGGGTCTTTCCAGCAGAGCTGCTACCTGGCCAGGTAGTCAGTCCCTAGCCTGTACCATTTTAGGAGTTCAGTACATCCTAGGTGCAGGATGTTTTATTGGGTTTCATGAAGTTCCTGTCAGCCTGTTCTCTCGGCTGTCTAAGCGCCTGTATTGACAGCCCTTTCTTGCAGTTTGACTGCTCTGCTCAAGTCTGTCATCCTTGGTGTGAGTATATTCCATCTCCCTCTACCCCCAGGTCATTGGTAAAGATGGAAGAAATAGGATAGGCCTCAGCATAGACCCCTAAAGAGCTCTACTTCTAACTGACCTTCGGGTAGAGTGTGTACCATTAACCACTACTGTCCTTCGAGTTGATATTCCATCCCATTTATCACATAGGAGTTTACTCATGTGGCAGTTGATCCATCTACACTTGCCTTCCTTGCTTCTCTCAGGAGATTGAACTCCACTATTTCATGAGCGCTACATCCATGGTTGCTGTTGATTACTGTGCCTCCAACCCATTTCATCCTTGCTGGCGAGCAGGGATGGAGAAGCATACCCTTGTGTTAGTCCATCTAGCACTAGCATAAAGACTTTGTCCCTGGCATCCTCCAGAAAACTCTGGTTCCAATCTCATCTTGGAACTGCTGGAAAACTTGGTTCCATGTTTCAGATGGCTGTAAAGTGAGTAAACTGAATAAGAAAAGACAAGAGTTTAAAAGTTTTAAAACCTTTAAGTACAGATAATAAGAAAAAGAGGACAAGGAAAAGAATATGGGAAAAAAGTGATTTTTTTTTTTTTAAGGTGGTGTTCAGTTAGAGTAAAGTTTTTTGATGTTGCATGCTGAAAAAACACTAATAATATAATGTGTTTCTGTAGAACAAATGTGCTCAAAATCTGTTGGGTGTAATCTTCTGGTTTTATTAGCAGTGCTTGGTAGAGATCACATAAATTGATCACAGCTTTGCTTCTCATGAGTTACGCAGCCACCCTAATCTTATGCCAATAATAAGGAGTAAAAATATGCTATACTGTATAACTGTTCATTCTGTTATATATAAGATTTAGGTTCCTAATTCTGCTATTGCAAGAGTAATACAAAATACCTGAGCTTCGAAGATTATCAAAGAGTGTATTAAAGGCTGTAGTTCCCACCTTTGACTGTAATTTCTTTGCTTAAAGTGTACAAAAAGGTACCCTGGATTTTTTTTATCTTTCTGTAGAGACAATAATTACATACATTTATTTGACAGGTTAGCCAGTGGACCAAGCTTTGTGAGATCAGCATACCTCTGGCTGTTGAAGGATTTTTGACGGCATCTCCTGAGCACTGTCAAACTATTCCTCCTGACATTTTACAATTTGAAAGGAAGCTTGGAGAACCTGTCCGAGTGCATAATGATGACAAAATTCGAAGGCAAAAACTTCAACAACAAAAGGCAGATGCCAAGGCTGCAGTGCCTGTACTTGGTAAAGAAGCAGCAGTGGAAGGAAAACCAGAGGAAATGCATGAACATCCAGTCCCAAGTTTGGAACTGAGCATAGCTTTCTCCAAGCTACTTGCCCAGGAAGTATCAGATGCTGCCAACAGGGAGGCCCCTCACATCAGGAGAACAAAAACCTCTGACCTTCCGCTTTTGGACCATGTTTTTGCAGAAGGGCTTTATTTTACCTTGGCAGATATAGTGCTTTTGCCATGCATCCATCAGTTCTTGGTAAGGTGACAAGTCTGCAAATATTAAGTAGTGCATATGTATTTTTTTTTTTTAATAACTGGAAAGTTGTAAAATAGCTTAATTTAAAATATAGTATGGCATTTGTAATGTGAATTTAACCTGAAACAGAAAACATGTCTTTGTTTTTGTACAAACAAAACCAAGGATTGGTGAGATCACCGAAATTCCTTTCAAATACACAGCATATTGATACTTAGTAAACACTGTTATCTGTTAAAATATTATGCTGAAATATTTTGGCACCAGGTTGCCCAGAAAATTCATCCATGAGAATACTTAGAGTGGACACTTAAATTACATTCTAATCTGCATAAAGCAAAAGTAGGTAAGCATGAACTTATTTTCTTGCTCAAATTTAGCATACTAGATTTATAGGCATGACTCAATGGTTGTTTACTAAAATGACACCATTTATCCATGAAGAATTTTTTGAGATTTGGAATTTTGATTCCATCATAAATGGCAAATTTTGAAAGGAGGGAGGGTTGAGAATGGCATAATAATTTTAAAATACTAGAAAGGATGTCCCCAATGAGAGATTTAAATTGGGCACTTAAAGTACATTGTAATATGCATAGAAAAAAAAGTGGATAAGCATGAACCTATTTTAATTTTGGTTACTGTGTACTGGGGGGCAAGGCAAAATGAATTCCTACCCAGTTTGTTGTACTTTTACTAGATGGCTGTTCTCCGAATGGGAATTGTTTTCAGCAAAGACTTGAAACTTTATGTGACTATCTTGACAGGGACAGATAGCACCGAAAAGAAAACAAGTATCTTAGGAAAGTAAGAATGCCTTTCAGGGAGGCAGGGAATGGACAGAGGTTCAGGGACTATAGTGGCTTTTTAGAGGTGTAAATCCTTGACTTCTCTTACACGTACTAGGGCTGAAGAGGTGCTTGGGTATTGACTAGGGGAACACTTCCAAAAGCTCATTTGTTTGTGCTGCTGGTATGTAGAGTATGCATGAGAGTCTCTTGAGAATTTTTTTTGTGTCTACAGATACTTCTTTTTAAAACATGATGTGCTATGACTTACTATTTGCTTATTTCTCCTCATACTAAGTTAATTATTCTTAACCTTTGCTGTTGGTTTCTTCTCGTTCCTAGAAATGACTTCTGTGTTTGGGAGGAAACATTCCTGTATAGCCAACCCAGCTTTAGTCTTTCTCACATAGGTGCTTTTTATCAAGCCCTCCCACAAAATAAGCCAGTTTCATTGCACATCTGTAGATAAAAATGGGTGGCTAGGACAGCATAATACCTACATATCAGCAAACCTTTTATCCTTCTGTACAGCTTTGTTTTTACAAAACTTAATCTGTATTCTTCTTCAAGCAAGGCCTGATCACTGTGACCCTGCTCAGAAACGAGGTGGTGTGTCTAGGGAGCCAGCTTGTTTGGGATGTGCTTCAGCCCCTGAAACTTCAGTAATCTGTAGTTTCGTCATTCATAGTGTTGTTGCTACTAAACTGTTCTCCACAGCTTGTGGAAGGTCTTTTGTTTACTGCAGTGAAAGGAGAAGGTCCTTGAAAAAAGTTACGTTGCTAGAAGCTCTTGGAGTGACATTTATAACTGAAAAGTTATGATTCTGCTTGCAGTCTTACGAGATGGGCTGCTTAATTTTTTTTTCTAATAGAATCTTGTGTTATATGTATGATACAATAACATACTGATAAAAAGTCCGCACTTCCCTTTAGGGGAGTTGAACGTTTTTCTATTAAATTGTGTAAGTATTTTGGAAGCACCAAGAGCGTGATCTATTCAAAGATGCCTTTGCATCTCTTCTCCTTTGCAGTTAACCTAGCACATTTCCAATACTGGACAAACACCAATGGGTTTGTTTTCAATTGTCTTCATCCTTGCCTTTTTCCTTTACATCAAGAATTTTTTGCAGCAATGAGGAAAAACAGTGTATGCTAGCAAAGTAATATGGGCATTGTATATAGTGGGTATATGCAAAATTTCATTCTGAGCATAGGACTGTTTTGCATCTTGTGATGTGTTTAGACATCTCAAAATGTCCATATACATCTCAGTCTGTATATGGAGAAGTTCGAAACCTTCAAAGAGTTTCACCAAGATAAAGCAGGAAGAGCACTGGCACCGCTGGCAGTCAGGGTACCGTAGACTGGGGGATAAATCTTTGCTCCCGCACATAGAATGTCGTTATAGAAACACTGTTGCAAGTGGCAAAGCTGATTTTAGAAGTTTCTGCACTCTAGGATGCAGTTTGCCAGGCTATTGGTTGTCTTAACCTGACTGTAATTTTAATCAGTAAAATATTCCTGTCTCTCTACCTTTAGATCAATGGTCTGTTAAAAGCTCATCTCACTCTTCTTCTAGGGAGAGCCTTTAGTCACCTGGTTATTGAATCTTTTGTGGTGGATCTCTGACTCTACAAAATTTGTCTGAGTCTGAGGAGACTCTGTGTGTGCATGTTATTTTTTTATAGCACTTACCTAGTAAGTGCCAGTGTCTTGCAGATTTTGTTGTACAAATATCTTAACATCTGGACTAGGAAAATATATCAAAATATCTTGTGAGCCTAATAAAGCCATGCAATTTGATTTTTTTTTAACTTTTTTTTTTTTTTACCCTCCCTCATCCCTCTTTTTTCCTCCTACCCTTTTCTCACCTCTGGAAAGATGTAGGCCTTATTTTAGCGCGAGTGACTTGAGCTCTGCCTCAAAACCAATTTTACAGTGGAAAAAACTTCTGTGGCAAGACCGTGTGAGAGCCATGCTCAGTGCAATCTGTATGCAGAGTTTTATGAGGATGTATACACAGAAAAGAATTAAGGAAATTACAACTGTGTGTTTGTTTCCCATGACATTAAAATGATACAATGAGGTTGCCTACTACCAGTATTCCCGCAATTACTCTATGCGATTGACAGCTCAGCTGGTGTCTGTTGCCAGGAAGAGCTCTGAGTGAAGTTGGTATTTGCATTTTGATTTTGCAAGTTGTTTTGCCAAATTTGCCTTATGGTGTTTGAAAACAAATGGAATTCGTGGAGAAGATGCTGTCAAACAGATGCAGAGAAACAGTCTCTAAAATCAAGACAACCACTAGCAAACATAATATGTGACAAATGTCCAACTTACAACTTCTTTAACCAAGATCATCCTCCTCAGTGGATTTCTGTATGATGATAGCAATATGGGAGTCCAGAAGTAGATTAATATGACTGCCTTTGAATTAAGATGAGTTATTTTACAGAAATGGTTATTAATTCATCTTTGCTTTGTTGTCTTGTTTTGCAAATCACATAACTGAGCATTAACAGCAACTTCTGTATGGATGATGCTAAACAAAAGCAGTGAGATAAAATGCTTTCCTACTATTTAAAAAAGTTTAATCTATTTCAGTTGTATTTATTTTTCCAAGCCCTTTTTAAAAGAGAAGAGCCTAACTTTTTAGAGTAATATTTGATTTACTGGTGCTGGGCATGAGGAAATTTTTGGATCAGATGCTTAATTTCAGCAGTCCAATTGAAATAATTCTGTAGATGTACCGTGAGCAGCTGAGAATGCTGTATTTATTTGCTTTTCATGTGTGACCCTTGAGCTCTGGTGGTCTGCAGCTTACAAACTACATATTGTATAATACATATATGTTAGCTGGAATCAAGGATTGTCCTAAAAAAATGGCTTTCAATCTAATTTTTACTTAAAGTATAAGAGCTCTGGGGTAACGTTGCTTTATTTCTGTTCTCTGGTGAATGATGGTTTTCTGAGCAATTAGACTTTGATTTCTACAGTTATCATCAAAATGGAATAACTTGCATCTGAAAGCTTATTGCAGGCAGTGGGTTGAAACTGCTCTCGTTAATGGAAATGCCAGACTTTAATTCTGTATTAAAATGTTATTTATCACTTATATAACTGGACTTCCTGGATTGTGTTTAAAAAAAAAAAAAAGTCATTATAGTTGCACTTCCACTTTGCTTTAAGGTTGTGAATAATAATGAAGTCTGCAATGGGTATGTGTCTGGAAAGTATCATACAGTACATACAAGGAGACCTGACTAACTGATTGTACTTATAATTACCAAAAGTAAGATAATGAAGCTGAAGAGTTGTTTTTCATTACCTCATTTAGTTTCTGTTATCTTTCTGAGGTTAGCTTTGTTACACTTTCTATTAGTTGTAAGTGTTTAAAATTAATAGAAGAATAACAAAAGCTCCATTCTCCATCTGGGAGAAACCACTATTCACTTTTTAAAACACAATTTAGAGCACTTGTTATCAAGTGTAACAGTGCCTCTTAGACTTACTTTCCAAACAACTTCTTCCTTAAATGAATTAATGTATTTCTGCCTGTGTTAATATTAGAATATTGAATTAGATACTAAAATTACACAGTTCATCCTGCTCCTTTTGCTCCTTTGGCTATTAGTAATTACTTGTGATTACCATAAGAACATTATAAACACAGCATGCAAGAAAGCTGCTTGAAATTTTGTGTCATTTCAAGTGTTTTTACCTGTTTCTATTTCCACACTGAGGACAAATATGTGGAGGAGCACTGTTTTTGCAAGGCCTTTTCTGCCTTTTCCTGTAATCATGGTTTTAAATTTTTTGCTTGAAGCAGGCACAACATCACAGAATAGTTGAGGTTGGAGGGCACCTCTGGAGATCATCTTGTCTAAGCCCCCTGTTCAGAGCAGGGTCAGCTAGAGCTGGTTGCCCAGGTTCATGTCCAGTCAGGTTTTGAGTATCTCTTAAGAATGGAGACTCCACAACCTCTCCTGTAAGAGGATGATCTTCACTGTTCTAAAACATTTGGGAATCCGAACAAAAATTACTTAAGTTCACCAAATGCATCCTTTTTAAAAATTAGCTGGTCTTCATGTAAATATGTGATTTGGGTATCTTTTTCTGTAATATGTCCATTGCATTCTTACTTAAGAATTTCTTTTTCTTTTTTTTTTTTTACACTTAATTCTAATTTCTGTTGAAGGCCCCTTCATGTCACCATCGTATATACTTAATTCAGAAAAGAAATACACTAGTTACCATTGTTGTATAAAAATATGATGGTAAAAAAGTTTGAGTAAATATATGATTTAAAAAAAGAAGTTTTGTGTTTAGTGCTAGTGAAAAAAACGGAAGTCACAGATGTAGTGCAAAGACTTCAAAAAGGACTAGGGACAGTGTATGCCTGTGCCTGTTTTGCTGTTGGACGTAGTCAAAGGTATGTCAGGCTTGCAGTTGCTGGCAAAAGAGCTGTCAGTGGATGAGCTTTTAAGGGCTTGTAGGGTGCCTGTGGGAAAGAAGAACATTCGGGTACCATATTTTCTTGCTTAGAGTTAGGTATTCATTGCAAATTACTGTGGTGTTGTTTGGTTTGGGTTTTTTGTGTGATTACCAAACAAAACGAATCATCCCCTTGTCTGGAAATAGCAGATGACTAAGAATGTTACTTCAGTTGTCTTTTCCTGTTACTGACTGAAATTATGGTTGAAATTGGTCATGTAAACCTTTTCATCCTACTAAGCAAATGGGAGTTGCAGATAAAGTCTAAATGGCCAACTGGCAATTCCACCTGCAGGCCCGAGCTCTTAAATAGCTAGTATTTTGCATAGCTAGCTCTTACTCAGCTAGCTATGAGTAAGCATGCTCAGCATGCAGCAGAGCTCACTTCTGTAGTTCATGCTTTCTTGTGGCTTGTAGGAAGAAATCTACAGCAGCAAGTAACCTTTCTGTTTTATTTTTCTAGGTTTCCAGCAAAAAACAAGGCAAAAATCTGGTAAATTTGCCTCTGATATCCAGTTGGTATCGAAGAGTTCAAGAAGTACCTGGAGTAAAGAAAGCTGCTGGCAAATGCAACATGGACCTTCTCCAGCTTCCAGAGTTAATGTCTGCTCCAGTGGAACAGCTGCAAGACTTCTCTTCAATTCCTGATGAATTAGAAGAGGAGAACGAAGACAGTCATTTTATAGGTGGTCCGAGGCCAACTATAACTAAGTTAATGGTAATTTAAGCTTTTTGATGAGTTATTTAATAGTAATAATCTGTTTCATTTGGAATAGGTGAAACTTACTAGAATTGCAGAAGCTAAGTCTGATAGCCTTGCACAGTTTAATACCTTTTGCCCATCTTCTGTCTGATATGCATTGACTTAGAAGTGATTTTTTGTTGTTGTTGTTGTTGTTCTGTTACGATATTTGCTCAATTCCTGAATCGATCCAAGATAGGACTGCTGGAATCCCTATCAATAATTCTGAATAATCAAAGTAACTTTGTTTGAATTGCAGTATTGTATTCCTCTTTTAAAGATATTTATATAAAGGATGAAAAAAAATGTTGCTTTTGTATTTGGCTTCATTATTCTATCATTTCTGTTGTTTTTTTAGAGAGTTTTGGACAGCTGGGAACCCTAATGGGTTTTGTTAGAAACTATCCATCATGTTCCATAACTCTCAATATTTTTAGCATAGATGCTGACAGAATTTCATAAAGAAAATTAACAGGACTTTCTTGTGAAAATGAGAGAAATACATAATTTGAATCCCATATGATGTAAAGTCAGCTGCCTGTTTAGTTTCAGTTAGGCTGAAAGTGTTGCACAGTTTGAACTGATGCCGTTGAATTCAGTGGGAATTTTGCTACCAACTTCAGTGGGTAAAGGATCAGGGTCTTAATTTTCCTGTCCTCCCTTTCACATAGGAAAATGGTATTGAAGCAAAGTTTTCTCCTCATCCATGCCCCAACTGGACCCTAGACTGGACCAATCTACCATCTGCAGTCAATCCTGGAGAAGGTAAAAATTTCTATCTATGTGTATATGTATTTAACAGTGCCACCTTCTGGTGGAGCTGCTTAACTGTTTTATAGGAAAATATGTCACCTTTCATTGTATTTCAGAGCTCTAAAACAGGTAAGCAGTTTTAAATCTATTTTAAAATTCAGTCTGTTTGGGACGCATGGTGGGATGACTTCCCTCAGGTCATCAACAGCTGATGTCCAAATTCGGAATACAAGCTTGACCTTGGTTCCCGAACCATATTTTTTCCCCACTGTTACCTACTTTTCTGAACTTCTCTTCATATTTAGAACAGTAGATTCTGACTACAGATGTTAATGTAATCAGCATGAATGTTTTATGTAGACTATTTCTCCCAAAGGAGCAGCAGCTGATTTTATTTTCATGAAAATAATATTCATTAACAAAGTTTGGTAGCTATATATGAGTGAGTCTTTCCTTTTGTGGCAGTGTTCCTTGCCTTCTAAGGGTTGTTTACTTTGCTGGATTGTAGGGCAGTCTGTTGCCTAGTTGCTATACTTCTACAGAGGAAAAACTGATTTATCGCAGTGTTTGTTGTTTTCATCAGTGTTGTGAGTGTTGAATACCTCTCGCACCACACAGCACAGTTTCCTCTAAAAGGTCTTACAGATACTAGCAGACAGAAGTTAGTGGACAGTAACTCCTTTCTACACAGAAGAAAAAGCTTTGTATTCTTTTGTGTAAATAAGATAACTTAGATACTGGAGTCAATCTAGCCTCACTAGCCTAGAACTTCTGATTTAAAGAATACAGAAATATACATGCAACATACATATGCTCTTCAATGACCAATATATGAAATTCTTCACAGAATATGCTAGGAATCACTGAATAGCTATAGGCACTTACAAAAGATACTCCTTTAATAAAAAAACCAAAACCAACTAACTGTATGAATACAAGCATGTATTCCCATCTACGATATACAGTCTATAAAAATAAGATCAAATTTGAAGTTGGTTTCCTGTGGTTTGGATCTGTGTGTAGTTCATAAAGCCACGACAAAACCCTCATGCGTACCAGGAGTAGATTCATAATTTTATATAAAGTGTCCATCCTTATAACATGATCTGTTCTCCTCCGGTTTTGTCCTGAGAGAACTCTTCACTGGGCAGTTACTGATTGAAATTATGGTTGAAATTGGTCATGTCTTGACCAATGTCATAAAGCATGCCTTGCTTTAATTATTGATCCTTTCTTTCCTTTAGCATGGAAGAAAAAACCAAACAAAACAAAACTTGGGTTTGCATCTGTCAACATCACATCATGCTTCTTCAGACTTTGTGTGTATGTTTTGGATATACTTTTTATGTTAAAGTAGCTCTGTAGTCTGACTGCTGAAATGCTCAGGGAGGATTATGTGCATTGAGTTTCTGTGACACGTTCCAGTATTTTGTCGGAAGGGAGTAAACATTTCCAATGCTCAGGGTTTTGGCTTTAAGTTTTAGTTCATACTTTTGTCAGGATATCACTTTTCTTCTATTTGAAAGAAAATTGTGAAAAATTTGAAAAATACAGAATCACATAATGAATCTATATTTGGAAATTTTGTGCTGGCAGGAGTCTCTCAGACTCGGTTTGACTGGGGGAAAAATAAACTCCTGCTGCTTCCCACTTCTGTGCGTGCTCGCTCTCTCTTTTTTCATGCTTGCTGAAATAATTACTAATGATGTTGATCTCTGAAATCAGTTTTCAGTTCAATTTTTTGGAAGATCTGCTAGCTCAGAAAGGTGCCAAGGGAGAGGTTTTGTCTCCCGCCACCCATGATCACAGTGATGCTTATGCCATTTTCTGGTTTAAGGAGATTCCAAATGGTTCTACTTTTAGTCCAGGAGCAACAGAGTCACACAATGCCAAAAGAAATTTCCTGATATGAGAATTAATTTTTCTTTTCAGTTGGATATATCTGCATGCTTACCTCTGTCTGCTGTTCTAAGTAGTGCTGTTCTAAGTGGTACTGTTCTCTGTTTCCTCATTCTTCTGCTAGTACAGCCTAACCATTGTTAAATGAATGAAATTTTCAATATTTTACTACTAAATCCTACCTGTCACACTAAGAAAATAGTCACTGAATCTGAAAGGGTTTTAAACTGGATTTGAGTAATGCAATTTAAGCATTCAAACAGATTACCCCTGTAACTGGTAAGTAAATTTCCTCTTACAAATGTTCATAGCAGTTGAGACAAAGTTGTCTCAGAGAATGTTTCAGTTAAAACTCACTTTGTTTTTATCCACAGCAAATTTAATTTGCTGGCAAGTCTTAATACAATAGTATACATGATATACTTTCTTTACTCTATCTCAGCTTAGATAACTCAGAATTTGTGTTATATATTTATGTGTGAAGTTCTGGGATTGAGTTGTTCCATCTATCTGTAAGATTAATTAGACCACCTTGCTGTCACAGCTGTTTACTACAGAAAAGAATTACTGATGATTGCAGGTCTAATGTATTATTTAGATGATACATTTAATTTCATTCAGTTTTTTTGATAGGGATTATCGTTACAAAACTAAGGTTTATGATATCATTGTTTGCATTTCATTTGCTTAGTCATTTCTGAAGCAGAATGAGATAGTCTATTCTATTCTAACTATTTCAGTTGGAAGGGACCTACAACGATCATCTGGTCCAACTACATGACTAATTCAGGCCTGACCAAGTTAAAGCATGCTATTAAGGTCACTGTCCAAATTTCTTTTAAACACTGACAGGCTTGGGGCATCAACCAGCTCTCTAGGAAGCCTGTTTCAGTGTCTGACCACCCTCAGTAAAGAAATGCTTCTCATGTCCAGTCTAACCTCCCCTGGTGCAGGACTGAACCATTCGTACACAAAAACGTGTGTTAGTACTAGTCCTGATGCAATTTTTAAAAGCTATTTGACCAAAATGGAGTAATGTTTACATTTTAGATATACTCCAGCTTTTAAAATTTCTGCCTTTATGACAATTACTTCTAAAATATTTAGCTTCTAAAGTTGTGTGTATCTGCCTTGAGACATGTGTGAATCTGTAAGCTTTTGTGAGCATCTGGACTGTACTTGAAACATTCCAAAATACCCCAAAATATAGTATCTTATTGCCCTCTGTAACTGTTGATATTCTAGGATATTGTAGTTCTTGAGTTGTTGTTACAAACTTTCACTTTTGGAAGGAACACAAAATATTTCATTTATTTTAAAACATATTGTAAATGCTGGTTTCTGTTCTAGTTTACTGTATAAAAACTTGGCCAGTACTTTAACTGTGTTTTTTCTAAGCTTGTTTTCCAAATCTATGTTTAGATCAGAAATATGTTGACATTATCTATTAAATACAGAAGCCAAAACCCTTCAGGACTTTGTTGTTTCTTCCAAATCACATGGAGTATAAAGACTTATCCCCAAGCACACAAACCAAGTCTGTGTGGCTCAATGCATGTCTTGATATTGAAAATTTAATTTGTGCAAAATCTCAAAAGAAAATGTATTTCTAAGTCATATCAGAGGTGATATACTGTAAACTTGCATGCCATTAGTGAAACACCTATTTGCAATAAATACTTCAGTCGGCTGTAGAGACACCTCAGAGGTCCTAACCAAGCTCAGTGCGTGGTTGTGTTGAGCTTTCCACAGAAGCAAAGGTACATGCGGTTGCAAATATGTACAGACAGTAAAAGAAGAGGGCGGCAGGTCAGAATATAGAAGCGTAGGTGGTCACAATGTGAGACTGAAGGAAAATGAGATACTTGCATCAGCAGTACAGGAAAATAATCACATGATGTATGTCAGCATAGAAAATGTTTTCATTTTTTCCCTGACAGAGTGGTTGCTGAAATTTTGGGAATAGGAGGGACTTCATGAAATAAGAATGCCATAGGGATATACTGTTCTATTACTGATTAAATGTGAGGTCTGGGAAAGAGGAGGTTATATTTAACTAGATTTGTGACCAACAAAGAAATGGGGAATCTTTTCTGTGGTTTCACAGTTCAAAACAGGCAGTGGTAGAAAGGATTTTTTTAATCTGTTTTGGAACTTCAGTCAGCTCTGGAGTCTTTGTGTCCCTGGTCCTCTATGTGTGTGAAACTGTTCCTTGTCTTCAGGTTAATTTCCTATTAGCTGCAGAGACTTTGAGGATATCTAGATCAGTCACTGGTTAGGATCTGAGATGCTTCCTTTAGCCTTACCCAAAGCACTTTAAAGGGAGGGGGAAAGTGCGTGTATGACGGGGCAGAGAGTGATAACCCTTGTCGCTGCTTTGTGATTCTGATGATACATGGGGACGCAAGTCATTGATAATGTCCTTTTTTCATCAAACATTGTGTTCACTGTGAAACAAAAAAAGGGAGAAAGGTTGTATTTTTTAACACAAATCTATTGCTTTCTTTGAAACAGCTTTCAATTTATTTAAGTTTTTTACCCAACTGTGAAATTCAAGAATGAGAAATAATTGACCCACAGTCTCACAAACCCCTACTTCTTTTCTCATGAGTTGAAATACTTGTTATTTACTTGAAATATTTCAAATAAAACACTTTTCTCTTTGGTATCTCATTCTGAAATTACCAGCTAGACTGACAGAGTGTGCATGTGATGGTATTTACTTACAAAGATGGTGGTTAGCTGTGAGAAAATGTATACTATTCTTTGCAAAGTGTGAAACTGCTCACAGAATGAATGTAGCAAGTAGTAAACTACATTCTGTAGGCTTGTGAGTAATGCCTTCTTCCTCAGAAAAATATTTTTTCTTAAATGAAGTAATTGTAGTAGGTCAGAAAAGAGCTCCTTAGCTGAAATACAACTTAATGTCAGGTGAATGTGGAAAGACCACTATAATAAAAACTAGGAGTACATGCACAGTAGGAGATAAAAGGGTTCAGTTACAGAATCTGTGAAGAGTTTGAGGTAGAGGAAGTTAGTTTAAAAGCTGTAGGCAAATAAAGCAAGCTAGATCAAAATAAATGAATACATTTTACAAGTGCAGCTTGCTCTTA